AAAAAAATATAATAGCTAAAATCAGCATGTACAACATTTGTCCAGCAGGTGAGACTGCTACTGGAAATAAATTGTGACTCTACAAACATTTTACTATTTTTTATGATATTAGTTTATCTCTTATCTGCTCTGTGTAAACAAAACCTGCAGTTCAGCCCAGAAGTCCCTGAATTGTTGTCATATGACTGTTGCTCACAGCTGAGTCGCTCACGGCTTCTTAAACGTGCCGAGAATCACAAATTGTTTTTTGTTTTGTACAGAATCTAAATACTGCAAACACTTTATTTTTGGTGAAACTTGAAATGGACTTAACATCACGATTTTGAGCTTAGATTTGGTTCCCGACTGAACAGCACGTCACAGATGAATAGTTTCAGTGTTAACAGGCCAGCTCTAAAATAAAAGATAATGTCTTTTAAACTCTACAACACGGTATTTTTGATTTAAAACCACAATTTTAAGCTTTTTTTCTGGTGAAACCTCCAGTGTCCTGCCTTGATAAATGGTTTAATTTTGGCACTTTTAAATAAATAACATGTCGTTCAAGCTTGGGTTCAGCGGGTTAATAAACTTGGAGAACTGGAAGAAGCCGGCCGGTTCTGTCTTACTTTTGAAGGCTTTGGGTGAGGTTTCGCTGGTGGGCATCTTTGGAGCAAGCGTGCGCTTCCCGAACACTTGGGCGTCGAAGCTTGCATAATCGAAGGACACCTTGGAGTACTTCTCCAGCTCCTTGGCCAGGTTGGCGCGAGGCGTGGAGGGCGCCATGTTGGGCCTGTAGCTGCCGTACTGAGGCACCTCCAGCTGCTTCACGAAACACATGGGCCTGTGGAGGAAGAGGAGACGGCGTCAGGGGCGGGGTGAGGAGAGCAGACGAGAAATAAAAGAAGATCGACGCAGTAAACAAACAGAGAGAGGAGTGGAAAAAAAGAGAGAGAACGAGCGAAAGAGGTGGAGTGAAATGGAGAGTGTAAAGATAGGGGCAACGGTGTACTTAGCAGGAGTGCAGCAGGATTAAAAGCTCTCTTATCAGCAGAGGGCACATTTGCATGTTGTACAGCATGGAATTTATGAGCTTTAAGCCCTCTCGTTTTCCTGGAGAGCCTGGGCTTTTGTCAGACCTGTTGGCGTAAATCCACTGATAGACCAGGAGAAGGCAGAGGGGCGGGAGAGGAGAGAAAAGGAAGAGATGGCCGGGAGAGAAAGAATAAAGAGGACGGGAGGGAGGGAGGCAGGAGCAGTGGAGCCACCTTCCTCATCTTTTAGAAAAAAAAAGTATTTAATCGTACATTTTTCTTTCACCCTCCCTCTTAAACCCACATCTCCACCCACTTAGGCCCGGCCCTCTCCTCCACTAAAACCCATTTGTTATGAAGCTAAAACACAGCAGAGCCAGTTGGAAACAGGACTTTTCATGACAGTAAAAAAAAACAACTTTCTACCACTGATCACAGGGGATTTTTTTCTCCTTTTTTTTTTAGCCCTTTGTATTAATTTAACATGGATTCCACTAGAACATGGATCGCATGAGGAATTCTTGGGCTCCACGTATACCAGGCGAGCGAATTCATTTGAATAACAATCTGAGAAGGAAAAACAAAGCAAGCCTTATTATGTTTTAATCCTCGATGCTTTGTCCGACCACTGATGAGGTTTTCCTCAAGGAAGGCAATTATTTTTTTTCCCCTCCTATCCCCCCGCAATGCCCCTATAACTTGCATAATTAGCTTATCGGCTGCATTATTAATTAAAATACCAACGAGGAAGAGCACGGACTTAGCATAATACCAGTGTCTGGTTTGTGTTAATTATCATTCTTTTGGCCGTGATCGCGCTGCCCGGCCGGTTGGGGGAGATGAATGGAGATAAAGAGATCTTAGCATTTGAGGTGACAGTAATGATTAGACAGACACACTGGTTGCTTTGAGACTTTCTCCTTATTATTGAGCCATTCACACGTCTCTGGCGACGGGTACAGTAACCAAGGTCAGGACCGTCTCTTGTAGTAGTGAAGCGGCTAACCTTGACTAGAACTCAGCTGTGAGGGGTTTGAATGGGAGCAGACGGCTTTTATGTCGGTTAGAGGGTCACCGGTTTGCCACATCCATCATCTTATCCGCGGGAAATCTCCAAAAGGCATTGACGGGTTATCGTCGGCGTATGACATCAATTATTAACACCGGTCGGTTGAATAATTAAAATGTAAAATATACATTTTTACACTTTTCCTTCAACTTCCAGTCAATTGATAACAAAAAAGAAAAAAAACTTTCTATGTCTGATGCATTTATTTTCTTCTTTTGGCCTTTAAATCATTTATTTATTCCATATTTTCCCCAACAATCAATCCCATTTGCGTCGCTCTTAAATTTTAATGAGTGCATTTTAATGTACGCTCAGGGCAGATTTGCAACGTGTGAAACATCAGATTATGAGAGCGGCTTGTGTTTATCTGAACAGATGATCAACCTGAAGTTAACTTTAAAGCTATAGCTACAGCGGTGAAGGTGATGTTAGTCATTCATATACTGAAGAATAACAGAGACATGAAATCAAACGCAAACTCTTTACAGATGAGGTTGTGGAAAAATGATATATATCGCCATAATAAAAACTCCCTGAACTTTTGTCATGTACCTGTTGGTCACAACTGAGCTAGTGACGGCTTCAAGGTTGCACAAAGGAGTGTAGAATTTTTTCTTTTTATTCAATCTGTTCAATGCAAAGAAGCTAATATCATTATTTCACGTCTAGATTTGGTTGTTTCTCCAGTTTCTTGCTCTGAATCTTTGTAAAGTCCCTGCTGGTCACAAGAGACGTGTACAATGAAGTAATTTTGCTGAAATATCTTGATTTGAAGTTAAGATTTGGTTGTTTTTCTTGATGTAACCGACAGTCTCTTGCTCTGATAAAATGTGCAATTAAAAGAAAAACAAAAAAACATCCCAACCAAGCAGCAGGTTTTGGGGTTTCAAGGGTTAAAACTTAGCGAGCACATCACTTTATATCCCAACCAGAACCAGACAGAAAAGAGAATCTGGTCGGGTTAAGTACATAAGACATGTAGAATATAGTGACTTTGCTGAAATGTTATGATTTTAAGTTTCTGTTTTGAGAGGTTGTCCAAAGGAACGGCACGTCCCAGATGATTACTTCAAGGACTGTCAGAAAGTTGAAAATTCTTTCTGTTTTAATGGCTCAAGGAAAGGCTGGAAATTTAGCAAGACAACAAACCCGCTGGCTGGTTTTGAGGTTATATTTTGGAGCCCTTTTGCTGCTTCCTGTCAACACCGCACACCCAACGTATCCCTAACAAGACGAATAAAACGAGTGCGCGTCGGGATGACCCACCTCAGCACTCTGTCGTTGGGACTTCCTTTGAGGTGCTCGCTGCCTGGCTGGGAGAGATGCGGCTTATCGTGGCCCTTGGACAGCTTCTCTGCGGCAGCGATGGGGCAACCGGAAAGACTGGAGGGGTGGAAACGGGGAGAAAGAGGATGAATATTAAACGGAGAACACACCGCTGACCCTGTAAATCTGCATCACGCTGATGCGGGCTGACATATCTGCTGTCCTGCATACATGAATACACGAGCTTGCAAATGCACAAAGGGAAATATGCAAGCCCTCCGCATCACACTCTCACCTGCAGAAGCACACTCGCTCAGATAACACAGATGTACGGACGCTGTGGACGTACCTGCGGTGTGTGTTGCGGTTGCTGTTGACGTGGCCCTGACCGGTGCAGCCGGGAGTTGGACACTTGAGCACATTTTCATGCATGGCCAGGACTGAGGAGGAGAAACACAATCGCACCGTGAGAGAAAATCGAATTAAAACAACCGAAAGAGATTTAAGATTAATCTTTCATAAATATTTTCTGGTCCCTGAACTATGGCGAATAAGAGAAAATAATGAATAATCCATTTACGTTTGAATAAATAGCTACAAAAAGCCGTTTATTAGTCCCTTTGAATGAGTGAACCGAACACAGGCAGGAGCTCTGTGTCACTTCAACCCCTAAATACCAACCGATAGAAATGAAGCAGAATTAAATGGCTGCCATGTTTAATGCCAGATGTCTGACTTTCTATCAAAACTAAACCAATCAAAGATGTTTTGTTTTTTCTCCAGGGAAACAGGCACAGGTTACGGGTTTGCTTTTATTTCTTTTGCCGTAAATGTTCTGAAAAATATAACAAATATAACATAAAGCTGGACGTGAATACGAACTCATTAAATCACAAATAACTAACATGAAGATGAAGGTGAAGCTAAAGCAAGGCTGGCTGATGCTGTACCTTCTCTGGTTTTACATTTCTGTTTGTGTGCAGGTTGACAGCATAAACCCAAAGCAGTTTCTGTGTTTTTTTTTTGCTTTTTGCTAATTAATTTGGGCGTTAATTTGTTTCCATACTTGTCTCCTCTCTGCTTTGTAAATACACAGCCTGCAGTTCAGACAACAAGTCCCAGAATTCTGTTCACATGCACATTTTTTTGTACTTTTACAGAATTTGGTTTAGTTTTTAGCATTTTTCAAAACACGTATAAATAATGTGATCTGGTTATCTTTTGGGGTGGAATGGTACGTGCCAAACAAGTAGTTCACGGATGGATTCTTCCTTTTTTTTAGTTTCTCACTGACAAATGGTGTCGTGTCAAAACATAAGCTTCTCATAAAAACTCAGCTAACTAAGATTAAGATGAAGCTACAGCCAGAGGTCAGGGCTGTGACTTTGTACTGACCGACTGTTGGTCTTTGGGTGTTTTTGGTTTTTTTTGTTTGCTAATTTGGGCTTCAATTTGTTTCCACATTTGTTTCCTGCAATTTCAGCCGAGAAGTCCCTGAATTTTGTTCACGTGAATGTTTTGTGCACCTGAGCCACTGTTAGCTTCACAGGAGGGCAGAATTTTTTTTATTTTTTTTACAGAATCTTGCTGCAAATGGGTTATTTTTAGTGACTTTTTGCACATCTGTAGAATGAAATCATAAATAACACAGATTGCAGTGCTGGAGCAGGTGGTGGGCTCTGGTCCTTTGTTGTGATATTTCTTTTTCTGCTGATTATTTTCATATTGTAAGCGGCACTCACTCTCCGGGGGGATCCTGTCCTTGTGCGGACAGCCTGACAGGCTGCGGTGGTGGGGGTAAAGCCCGGTCACGTGGCCCGTCCCATCGCACCCCGGCGTGGGACACTTGATCTCTCTCTTCTCCGGCCTGCTGCTCTCTGGAGGGGGGGGAGGAGGCAGGAGAAAGGGGTGAAGGAGATAGGAGGGAAGAGGGGAAGGTGGGATGAATAAGGAGGACAAAAGCAAGTGGTTAATGCCATCAGACAGTGTGCTCGGCTGAGCGTGAAATCTAGACATATTTCAGACAACTGTACAAAAGCAACACCATCTGCATGCCCTCTTCATGTCTTATGTATCTCTGTAAATGCACAAGGTGTTTTATGCATTAGTCTAAATGCGATTTGTGTGTTTCTGTAAATGCTTTTAGGGGTACAATAATGTCTGGACTACTACAGCGGCCCCTTTGCTACTTGCTAGCCTGACATTTGGATCTCACGGAAAACGGCACCTGAAAAAAAAAAACGTTAGTTAAAGGTTCCTGCTCCTACCTCCTGCTACTGGAGGTAGGCCAGCCGGTGTCGGTGGCACCGGAGAGACGGGGGGGAAAAAGGAGCAAGAGGACGGTGAGATGCTCTATTGGCCTTCAAATTGAATGTTAACGAGACATGCATCTCCTAATTAGCGTTGAGCCGAACAGGAACGTCACCACAGGAGGGAGTTGAGGCCAAGGAGAGGGCAGCACTACCAGGCATGTAATCACACTGCTGCTATACTGTGAAGAGCATGACAAGTGGGCAGCGTGCCAACTGTGAAATACAAGGCCCGAACACATGCAGCACGTAAACAAACACTCCACAACAACCTGCTCTCCTGCTTTTTCCCTCTCCTGATATGCTGCCGTGTCTCCAGCGCCGCCGCCGCCGCCGCCGCCACCCCTCCTCGTTTTTTTTTTTCCACTCCGAGCGCTTCCTCCCTGCTCTTCATGGAAGTCTATTCAGCTGGAAACACTTCATCCCCATTACAATGGAGAAGGGAGGATCTAAACAGAGCTCTGTGACTCATCGCTGTTTATTTGGTACACTGTGTTTATTTGTACGCTCTGCTCCCAACATGAAGTTCAGCACATGAGGACCTGTGCTGGTTTAGTACACTATTTTCTGTGTGCTCGATTAGGCAACTGTTGACTCTCCGCTGCTGCTTTTAATTCATGTTTCGATGGTATAAAAATATACCTGCTTTCTTTAAGAGAGTTACACGTGAACACCGACCAAAGCCCACATGCCTGTATGCTCGATATGACGCAAGGAGCTGTTAATGTTTTCTTGAACCACAAGCGAGTCTTTTTTGATCATTAATTCTGTCATTTTGGCTCATTTCTTTTTACTGCACTGGACCGCTATAGAAGCAGCACAACCTCAGGTGGAAAAGAGTGAACTTAAGTCATTTAAAAAGCATGTCTCCACACTTTTATCCTCATTGCTTCATGCAAACACGGCCTGCAGTTCAGCCGAGGTCCCTGAACGTCGGTCATGTGACTGTTGGTGTCACGGCTGCAAAGAGGGGCGCTGATTTTTTTTATTTTTCAGACTGGTTACTCGAAAAACATTTAGCAAAATTTTAAATGCGTGAGTGGTACGTCACAGATGAGCAGGACCATTAGCAAGCTGAAGATCAGACGACCAATCAGTGCTGTCACTCTGATAAATGGTACAGCTTGAAAAATTTTTAAAGCTAACATGCCTTAAAAACTTGAACCGGATACAACATGGTAATGCTGTCCATGCTGGCTGATTCTCAATGCTTCCAGTTTTAAAGCTAAGCTAAGCTAATCTCCTCTGGACTCATATTGAGCGCACAGACATGAAAAAGGCGTCAGACAAACCAGTTTACTTTTTGTTTTACGGCTTATTGGTTGGATTTTTTTTCATTCAATAAAAGAACATCTACACACGAAACTCCGGTCTAAGATGCAGCTGCACAGCAATTTTCAAAGTCGTTCCCCAGGTGAAGTTTAAATGGTGATCAGCGATTGGTCAATGAGGCTCCATTAGGGCTCGTTTACTCTACTGTCTGGTCACTGATTGGTTGAATGTGCTGCTGTGGTGTTTAATCAATAAAAAAGGGGTCTTAAAAGGTAATTTAGCTAGCAAGAAACTGGTTTGGTCAGCAACACTTAGCTGCCTTAGCGTCTGATGTTAATGTAGTTTTAAAAAAGGAACAGGCCTGTATGATGCACTGCCCACACAAAGCAGCTTCCACACATGTACCTGCTGCAGCTCTGCCCTCCCCTCCTTACTTCCTCACTGCGTCCTACCTTTGCTGAAGTAGCTCTTGCGGATGACGTCCAGGTGCTTGGGCCTGTCCTCCATGGTGAAGTATCGCTGGTGGTGGATATCTGGGGCGCGGAGCAGCTCTCTGGGCCCGGCCGGCTTCACCTGCTCTGCCTTCAGGGCGATGGCTTGCTCCAGCAGGCCCAGGTTCCCTCGGGTCATGTCGAACATCTCCGACTCGTCCGTCACCGTGGAGCGCTGCGACAGGCTGTCTTCGTCATCGCGCTCGTCGTCTCCGTCCACGTCATCGAAGTCCTTCTCCTCCGACCTGTCCGACCGCACCTCGATGATGTCGGGGGAAGCTGAGGACGAGGCCTTGTGGATTTTATAGTTCTCACCTCTGGGGATGGGGAAGTAGTCCTCCAGCGGACTGGCCCTGTGGGAGCTGTAGCTCAGAGGAGGGCTGGCCTTGTAGTTCTGGAGCGAGCTGGGCTTATGAGAGTCATATTTGTCAAGCGGACTGGCTCTGTTGGGGTTGTAGTTCTCCAGGGGGTTTGCGGTGTGGGAGTTGTAGTCCTCCAGAGGACTGGCCCTGTGGTCTTCAGTCTTGATGTGTGTTCCCTGAGCTGCTGCGGTGCTGGTGATGGTGCGGATGGCAGTTGGCACATCAGAAACGGGCAGAACGTGGTCCGTGTTCTCCTCTTCATCCTTCTCCTCGTCCCCCTCATCCTCTGCTGGAGTATCCTGCATGTGTTGCACTGGCACTACCATCTCTTCCTCCTCCTCCTCCTCTTCCTCCTCCTCCTCCTCCTCCTCTGCTTCCTCTTCACCTTTGATCTGTTCACAGTGGACACCTTCGGTCGGATACTCTCGGCTCACGTGGTCGCTGGCGTCTTCATCGCGCAGTTCATCTTCCACGTCAGCTGCCTCCTTCTGCACAACAGATGACTCCTCCGGTACTTGAACTCTGTGTGCCTCCTCCTCCTCCTCCTCCTCCTCCTCCTCCTCCGCCTCTTCCCCCTCATTCATGCACCCCTCCTGCTCGTCCTTTACTTCTTCACCCTGTTCGGCTGCCGTGCTGACATCCTCTTCAGTCTCCATAGCAACAGTCTGCTGAATGGCCACACTCGGAGCATTGTTGCCGGAGACTCGGCCCAGGTGGAGGAGCGAGTTGGCCACCTCCTCGGCGCTCTGCGAAGGCGACCGGGCCTCCTCGGCGGCGGCGGCGGCGGCAGCAGGGGCCTCGATGATCACACACTCCTCCTCTGTGGAAGCGGAGATGAAGAGGTCAGAGCAGCGACACGGAGGAAACACTGAGTCATGCACTGAGCTAAAGCTGATGTCAGCAATATCCGTATCATCACTTTGCATCACCTTCCCGCCTGCTCAGTCACTCACCGTGAGCTCACAATGACATCAAAATAACCTGCTGGGACAAATACTGTCGATGGAACGCAGCTCACAAAGTCCTTGTGTCCCTAGTGGTCATTAGGAGTCACCACGTCCTCTGTGATGTTGGAGACTTTTCATAACTTTAATTCATGGTCCTTCAGGTGGATTAACACAAACACTGAACCTGCCATGAGCTCATTTAGTTTCTTTGCTTCCAAATCAGGCAAAATTAGTGCATCTCTGTCCTGGATTTAGACTCCCAGGCATTTTTAACGTGTACACATGCTAGATAACTAAGATTTAATGTAAATCTCTGATCAAATATGAACCCTCTGAACCTCCAAAACTCACCACCAGGTTTAACAGTCATGACTTTGTTTTGTTGTTTCAGTGCAACAATTACAGTATTTATCTGAAACTGGAAGAATTGTTGGATTTGAACTCATCATCTTCGACCTTCGCAGCTAAAAATCTGCACCCATCAGCGCAACAGTGAAGTCATCACTGACTCATCTGCAGCGAAAGCTCAAGTGACAAACATTCAGGGACTTTTGGGGATGAACTGCAGGCTGTGTTTACGCCGAGCAGACAGGAGACAAATATAGATTAATATCATTATGACTCTGCTGTGCTGCACCAAGGACATTTTTATGCTCTCTCTCTATCTAGAGATGGTTCATGATGATGGAAAAATGAGTCCACAGTTAGTAAAAATGCTAAAAACAGCCATAAAATGCTCAGGGTTCAGAGGGTTTAAGGAGCACTCCACTGCTTTTAGAGTTAAAATAAAATAACCCTGATACTGGCACAGTGATGGCTCAGGCTTGACATATACATACATATATTTTCTTTATAACTGAAAATTACAATTACAATCTGGAGAGGTGGCGTTTGAAAGAAGTGGGCATTAACGAAGCAGTGAGGGGCTAATTGAAAGAGCTGCTCCGTGGGGACACATGCAAGAGACTTAAAAGAATACGTTAAGCTGCTTTGATTCTGAAATGCAATGAAACAGCCATACTGAATAGATAGATATAATAGAAACATCAGTCTGCTGCCTCATCGCTAGCAGGACCAAGAGGATGATTTTATACCAAAGCTACGAGGGACTGAGGAGGAACCATGAGCAGGTATTGGATATAGCTTTTACAATTAGGTCTTCATTTATGTATAACAACCTGTAACTATGAATCATTGTGTTTTCGTTAGCTGACAATGACATCTCTATTTGTACCAATAGAGCAGGCCCCATCATGTTTCTACAGCAGCCCGGAGCAGACGAACCAAACGCTGGCATGTCACAGCCACTAGATCAGGGGTGTCCAATCCTGGTCCTGGAGGGCCGCAATCCTGCATGTTTTAGATGTTTCCCTTCTTCCAACACACCTGATTCAAATGATCAGGATCGTTATCAGGCTTCTGCAGAGCTTGATGATGAGCTGATCATGTGAATCAGGTGTGTTGGAAGAGAGAAACATCTAAAACATGCAGGACTGTGGCCCTCGAGGACCAGAGTTCGACACCCCTGCACTAGATGTTCCATGAATGGGTGGAAAGTGAAGGATGTTCAGTTTGTTGTGACCTGCAGCCTCTCTGCTAAACTACATCCTGCACACCGGACATTTAAATCTGATGCAGAATAAAGATAAAGAGCTTAAAATCCCACATATGTAGCTGTTTTTGGCATTTTTCTTGTCTTGTACCTTCATCTGAAGCAAACTTCTCCTCCTTCTGAAGCGTCTCCTCCTCCTCCTCCTTCTGCTGTGTCTCCTCCTCTGGTCTGTTTGTCTTCTCATCCTGCTGGAGGTTTTCTGTCACCTCTTCTTCTTTCTCCTCCTCCTCCTCCTCTTCTTCTTCTACACCTGCATCCCCCTCTTCCTCCTCCACCTCCTTGGCCTCCTCTGGCTTCTCTCCATCCTTCTCGGCCTCGGCCTCGGCCTCGCTGCTGGCGTCACTCTCTGCACTGAAGCCCTCGTCCAGGGCTAGTTTCAGAGGATGGGACTTCCTCTTGGAGGCGGGACGCTCCGAATCTTGTTCCTGCTCCTGCTCGGCTTCTGCTTCCTCCAGGCGGCGCTTTCTCGCGATGGGGCAGCCGAGAATGCTGAGCGGAGAAGGAGACGACAGAATCATGAATGCAAAAGACGGAAACAGCCTCTAACGTGTCCAACAGAAACTCATGCACCTCAAAGACTCCACAGATGGAGGGTGTGTTTCGACATGGAGTAGGAGTGTGAGTGTGGCCTGAGGGGGGCGCCATGCTTTGCTCACTCAGACATCACAACCAATCTCAGCCAATTGAGTGGAACGTTTAATGAACAACTTGTATGGAGAGGCGGGCGGGCGAGGCAGCGGAGGGTGAAATCCAATAAACTCCCTCTTACTCTCACCTGGGAGACGCCGAGGGAGACCGAGGGACGATCTATAAACAAAGTGCATCTGAAATTGCCTGCTGAACGAATACACATGTAAACAGATAGCTAATATCTGCCCCTCAATAAAGAGGAGTCACAAGCCAGTGAGCTGCCCCGAGTCTCCGGGGGTCTCCGAGGGCGAACGGCGCAGATGAGGAGCGGCGGAGAAAGAGAACGAAGCCGGAATAAAAACCTGCAGAAATCACATTTCGCCGCGGCCCGTCTAAAAGTTTAATACCAAGGTTTGGATTTCGGAGGCTCTGGGTGTTTGGTGTAATTTACAAAAACAGCGGTTCTCACTGGAATGTGATTATTCAAAGTTATATCGAGGATGTGCTCTTTTTTTTTTTTTTATTTGGCCAGTATCTTTAAAACGACTACGAAAAATAGCGCCAAGGAATCTTTAAGGCTGAAAACAATATTTTTAATTTAATGTCACCTAATTTTTATATTAATTAATATAGTTTTACATACTTGTCCTTTAAATCTTTGCTTCTTCTTGTAAATTATGAACAATTAAAAAGTCACGCCAATAAAACAAAGGCAGAAAAAAATCCCTCTTTGCTTAAAAAGGACTGATTTTAAAAAAAAAAATCTCAATCCACATCACTAGTTTTTACATGATGGATATTTTCATATTTATTAAAGCTAAAAATCTGTAAGGAACCAAACAATACCGCTCTCCTGTAGCAAATATGAAGCTAGCTTAGCTTGAGCTAGTTTAGCATAACGACTGTTAAACAGCGAGAAAAGTCTGGGTCCAAAGATAACAAATGAAGGTAATTAGCATCTTTAAATTAATCAAGAATTAAAAGGTTATCAGCTATCAGAGCAGAAACTGGAAAAACAGAAAAATTTGTTGCATTTCTAACTTCCAGATGGTCCTTGAACTACTCAGCTGCGATGTGCCGTTCTGTTGGGAAAATTGAGCAAATCTTAACTTTAAATTAAATTCACTTTTTTCTTAAGGTCTCATCTAAAGTCTCTAATCAAAAATGAACAGTTTTGTCTAATTAGATTCTGTCAGAAAACAAACAAACAAAAAAACTGCATTTCTTATTGTAACTGGGAAACTATGAGTGACTTTCCTGTGACCAATAAATTCAGACTTTTTGGCTGAAGTGCAGGCGTTGATGTTTATCTGCAGTATTTAGCGTTATCATGTATGACAGTTTTGGGAACAGGTGTGGGCACTTGGAACAATGTTGTTCATATTAATTGCAGTTTTTTTCAATGTTTGTAAAATACATAATGAAAAAAACCTTTATTCTACTGCACATGAGGATTTTTAAGTTCTCTACTCTTTCCACAGAGTTGCAGGACTTTTTATTGCAGTGAAAAATTTGAGTAAAAACATGAAAGAAGCAAAAATGGAGCAAAAAAAACAAAAGCTGCTCGGAGTTCAGAGGGTTAATGTGTAATCTGTGTGGGCCTGTTTCTTGGCTGCGAGCGGTGACTTATTGGCGTCTTGGAGGAGACTTGGCCAAGACGGAGAAACTCTCCACAAGACCACATTTTCACATTTCGTGTGAATGTGGTGGTGGATGGACGGATGGATTTGTTACGAGTGGACCAGACCCGGGCTCGCTGCTCACGCGAAGCCGTCTGCAGCTTCATATTTAGACACGAGAGTGGTATCGATCATCTCATCCGACTCTCGGCGTGAAACCAAATAAAGTGCATTATTTCCCATAATGCCAAACTGTTCCTTTAAAAGCACAAAAGCAGATGCTGCGGGGTGGAGAGGGCAAGGCGGACAGACAGACAGAGAAGAAGGACAGACAGAGGGTGGGTTTCTTTTTTTTGTTTGTTTGTTTTTTTTTTTTTAATCTGCCCTACCTTCTGTGTCGTGAGTATCTCCCACTGATATGGCCGGAGCCATTGCATCCAGGGGTGGGGCAGCTGGATGGGATGGATGGAGGTTAAAGATATGATTAAGACACGGGTGCATTTTTAGTCTCTTGTGCAGCAGCAGCAGCAATGATAAACCAACAGGCAGTAAACAAAAAAAAACAAAATAAATTAGGATCAACAAAGCAAAGCATGCAAACCGAGCATGCATGTGGCACAAATGCACATGCACAAAGGCGCCTCCCTGCCAGCGCGTGAATGCAGGTGGCATCAAAGCGGGGAAAACATAATATTGTATGTCGTACATCAACCCTGGCCTATATCCTGTTACTATGAGAGATAAGGATCAGCCGAGACCTGCTGTAATTTCCCCTGCTCTCCTCTCTTCACCAGTCATCATCATCATCGCTCTGCCTCTCTCTTCCCTCTCCTTTGATTCAGGTTGCTATGACCCCTCAGGATGGCTCATTTCAATTCTCATTAACTTCCCCCAGCAATTGCCCTTTATTACTCCAATTATCCTTATTATTAATTTCACTTATTAAAAAATGCTGCATTTGCATTTTAAATTAAGCGCTCTGCGGCCCTCCCTCTTGTTTTTTTTTTCTCCTCTCTTCTTAATCCCGAAACCTAAAGCTTTTTTTTTGGAGTGCAGATCAATGCTCTGAGGGTGAAGTGTGGCGAAATGAGAGAGGATGAAAAAATCATTTAGAGGGAGGAGGACAACTGGCTTGGCGGCCCTGAAAGCTGCCGCCTGGGTGGGAAACTGTGGGGAGGAGGAGGAGAGGGGTAGGTAGGGGCAGAGAGGAGAGAGAGAGGGGGAGAAATAATCGGCCTTCGCCAATCCTCTCTCCTATATCCTTCGATCGGATGGCAAAAAGATCATACGCCCCTTTCATTGCATCTACTGTATGTGTTCATAGCAGGAAATAGCAAAAGGCTGCGAAAAATCAATAGCAGACTGTTGGAGGCACTGACCACGAGCTGAGAAGTGCTGATGATAAGAAATAAAAAAAAAAAAAAAAAGAAAAAAGAAAAAGGGAAATAAATAAATAAATATACAGCATCATCTAAAGAAGCACCGGTAGTGAGTCTATGAGTGCCGGGGTGGTGGGGTTGGCTCGGCGGTGCACATAAAAGAACTTTATGAAAGGGGATTTGCACAAAGATGAAGGTGTTTCCTTACCTCAGCTCTTGTCCTACGAGCTCAATAGGAACTGGGAGAGAAGAAAGACACGGGGAGGGAGAACAAAGGTGAACGACTGCTCAGAAAGCCGCGCCGCTAAAAGAAACTCAGATCAATAAATCACAAATGCACACGAATCCCGCGAGGATTCCTCGTAGAGGCTCACACACTGCTGACTGCATGATCAGGAGGTAAAACAGAAAAAAAAAAAACACAACACCACCTACACGCTCCCGAGTTCACATACAAACACTCACACATGCAAACACAAGCATAAAACAAACAGGAGCGTAAGTGCCGGCCTGCACAAACATAGAAAAACGCACAAAGGCAAACAGCAGAAAGCCTAAATCAGCCAAATTACATAGTGCTGTTCAGGAGAGAGGAGAGGAGGGGGAAAGAAAAAGTGACAATTATATGCAGACTTCAGCAATAAAACATGATTAATTGTTACACTTTGGTTATCATAATTGGGGAAAATGAAATTAAAAAGGGGAAAAAAACTGCCTTCATCAGTGGAAAAACAGCACTTCTTTTCAGGGACAACTTATAGTAATTGCCTTCCAAACATAAATCAAAGCGCGCAAAAAAAAAAAACAACAACGCTCCGGCTGCTCGAGCTCCGGCTGCACGGCCATCGATTGGGAGTGTTGAGCGATAGAATGAGTTTTGGAAGAAATATCCTATTTTCATTTGGAGCGAAATGAGAAAACAATACGATGCTGGAGAATTCAGTTTGGGCTCCGATATCACATGCATTAATCACATGTCAGAAAGACCTCGGGTATCAAGATACACTAAGAAAATAAACACCAACAAACACACTGCTGGCGTCGTGTGTGTGTGTGTGTGTGTGTGTGTGTGTGTGCAGCATCCCGGTTTCTCCGTCTTTCATCATGCAGTGGGAATGACTGGACGCCTTCTCGTGCTCTGAACGCCCTGTGAACTGTTGCTCTCGCCGCCAAACATCAAACACGCAAAGAAAGCCGCGCACGCATCAGTATGTACGAACGCGCACGCTCACCGAAGGACACGCCGAAATTCAAATATTGTCACTGTCATTACAATAAAGTTCCATATGCGGACCATGAATTGTATTCTGTTTACTTCCTCCGTCTAAAAGTTTATTTGCTCACAAAATATGCAACAAAAAACCAGGACATTTAAGCCAAACTAATCAAATGATAAAGTGTGATTTGTATTGGAATCCCACCTTCAAAGTGCAGGCAGCAACAAACATGAGGTTTTAATTAAATCAGGTCAGAGCGGCTCATTTGCCCGTCTTGCATGATTTGTCTGTAAAAAACTGTTGTGTACATAATAAGAGGAGGTGCAGATTGAAAAAAAAAAGTGTTTGTGATTGAATAAAGTTATTGAAAAGCAGCATAATAAATCGGGGGATATTTTTGTATGCTACATGACGCGCCATGAGAGAAATAAGCAGTCATGGCTGAGCTTTTCCATTCAGACCGTTTCAACAAACCCAAAGAACCAATCGTGTTGGCTTGCAGGGTGGGATTTTCTGCATCGTTATTCCTTAACAGAGTTGGTTTCTAATATTACAACTGCCTATTGTGGAGGGTAGAGTGGTTTTACAGTGTAGGCGAGCTGGTGTGCTTGAGCTGCAGCGAGTGGGTAGGGCCACTGTAAAGCAGGAAGGAATTGTTGACGTCGAAAAAAAACTTCTAATTGCGTGACCTTGATACACAGAGATATGTTTTTAGGGGTTAAATCAAGGACTTTAAGGTGATTCTTAATTAGCCAGACCTCAGTATGGAAAAAAAATAGCGTAGCTTGAGCCAATGCTAACTCACTAGCTAGCTGTAAGTAATACACGAGCACTAATTTGGTCTCTTTATGTGTTTTTTCCCAACAAAACTTGATATTTCCATAGAATTGAAGTTATATAGGATAAAATAAAATGTGAAAAAAAAGTTCCTAAACCATTTTTAGCTAAATTTTTACAGCCGAGCTCCTTTGTGTTTTCGTGTTTCGACCTATATCAGGAAAATCCTGCTGCTTTGGCTACTAGCAGTTTTTATTACCAGGATTACTTCAAGGTTTGACTGTTAATTAGAAGATGTGGTGTAACATAGAGTTTCTGCATCACTTATGTGATGTAACGAACTGATTGAATAAATAAAGAAAAAAGAAGAAAAACTGGGAAAGTTCACTCATGGTGAGCTAATGCTAACTTGCTAGCTAGCTGTAAGTAATACACGAGCACTACTTTGGTCTCTTTATGTGTTTTTTTCCCAACAAAACTTGATATTTCTGTAGAAGTAAAGTTACATAAGATAAAATGAAATGTGAAAAAAAAGTTCCTAAACCATTTTTAGCCACATTTGAACAGCCGAGCTCCTTTGTGTTTTCATTTTGTTTTCATGTTTCGACCTAAATCAGGAAAATCCTGCTGTTTGACTGTTAATTACAAGATCTGGTGTAACACAGAGTTTCTGCATTACTTATGTGATGTAACAAACTGAATAAATACATAAAAAAGACAAAAAACTGGGAAAGTTCGCTAATGGTGAGCTAATGCTAACTCACCAGCTAGCTGTAGGTAGCCAGTGTGTACTATTTCAGACACTTTCTGCCGTTTCTTTCCAACAAAATTACATATTCCTTCAGTATTGTAGTAATATACGATTAATTAAAATGTCAAAAAAAGTTCCTACATCATTTTTTCACCACACAGTATGACTTTGTAGAGCTCCTGCGCGTTTTGTTTCCGTGTTCAAACCCTACTTCGACCACTAGCGGTTGGATCATTATGAGATCTTGTATAAAACAGAGTGTCACTTTTTTCTGTGGCTTTTTGTTCTCCGTTGTGATTAGATTTACTTTCTGTAAAACTTATGTGATGCAACAAACTGAATAAATAAATAAAAAGAAGAAAAACTGGGAAAGTTCGCTAATGGTGAGCTAATGCTAACTCACTAGCTAGCTGTAGGTAGCCAGTATGCACTATTTTAGACTCTTTCTGCCTTTTTTTTTCAACAAAATTCAATATTTCTGCAGCATTGTAATAATATACGATAAATTAAAACGTCAACAAAAAAGTGCGTGTTTTCTTTTGGATCATTATGAGATCTGGTGTTACATGAAGTGTTTATTTTAATTTCTATGACAGTTATGACTCCTGTTCAGTATTTCTATAAACATTCACACCTGCACATGCAAATGCAGACACACACACACACACACACACACACACACAGATCCGTATGCACACAACAAAATCCAGCACACACATGAACGTTGGTGTTGTTGTGTCGGCGGAGGTGCATCCAACAGTTTGCAGAGATGCTTCCTTAACACACACTCACCTCTGATTCCTTTGGACCGAGTGCGAGTTCGCTTGTCATCACCCTCTACACTCATCTGGGATCATAGGAAGGGAGAAAAGAGAGAGAGAGAGAAAACAAACCGTGAATGTCTCAACTATAGCCCACCACACAGCTAACTGCTGCTTTAATAAACCCAGAACGTTCTCAGTGAAACACAGCAAAGGTGGCGCCATCTTTAATTCTCTCACAGAAATAGAAACTTAGCGCGGCTAGCGTCACTTCATCAGCAATTAGGGCTGAGAGGGAAAAACAAAGTCAGCTATTGCCGCTACTTTTCCAGGTCCCTCCTCCTCCTCCTGCCTGTATCCACACACCTCCCATCACTCTCCCTGTAATTTCCTGCATCTGAGTGCTGCTCATGATTGTAGTCTGCACACAGGCGGCAGGCGGCGGTCTGAGCAGAGGCCACGGCCCCTTGGCTCGCACGGGGGGCCCACAATCAGAACGATGCTGAATATAATAATAAAGCAAAAAAAAAAA